GGGGTCCGCCCTGGGCCCGGGGCGGGGTGTGGGAACCGGGCTCACTGTGCTGCATCCCGCTGCAGGACACCACCCCCGACGAGCTCCTGGCAGCCGTCCTGACCGCGGTTCTGCAGGACGTGAAGCTGAGGCCCGAGCTGCTGGGAGACATCGTCGTGGGTGAGCCCGTTGCCCACCCACCCTCAACCCCCGTCCTCCCGAGCGCACACTTCCCAACCCTAGTTTTCACGGATAGGACGGACGATGCACTTCCTTGCTTGCGGCCTTCCTGGGAGCCAGTCACCGACACCTCAGACACTTAAATTGCCTCCTGCACGTGCATTCTGGGAATCAGGGGTGGCAGAAAACAAGAATCCTAAGCGCACACATTCTCACACCAAGCCCCCCCCCCCAGACAATCTTAAGAGACAGGAGGCAGGGTGCGTGCTATACCACCCTGATGTTCGGACTGAAGAGAGTATCAAAAACCGTCTAGTGCAGCAGCTGATATACAGATGGACAAACTAAGGCTCAGCGAATTTGCCCTGAAGCTGGGATGTGAACCTAGGGCCAGGACCTTCAGTCCAACCTTGTTTTTCACCCGACACCTCTTCCGTTGAAGTATAAGCTGTATGGACCACGGTTTCATTCACGGGTGCTAGCTTGGGGATCATGGTTCCTCCTCCAGCAGGCCTGGGAGAAGAATTCTTGGTGGAAGTATACATTTTCAGAATGTCATTTTCCTCCACAGGACCAGTTCTGTTAGACTTGAAGCTTTGCCTTATAAGGTTCCCCTTTCCTTAAAGCCTTCTAAACCCCAACTTTGAAGGTTAGGCCACCTGTCCTGTCTCTGCTGATTTGTTTTTGTTTTTGTTTTGAGACAGGGTCTCACTATGTAGTTGAGACTGACCTGGAACTCACTATGTAGCCCAGGCTGGTCTCGAACTCACAGCAGTCCTCCTGTCTCAGCCTCCCAAGTGCTGGGATTAAAGGCGTGCATCACCACGCCTGGCTCTATCTCTGCTGATTTAAAGAGCAGGGTGCAGGAGAAGCAAATTTGGGATCCTCTGCTACCGGGGCTGGTTTATGACAGGACAAGCTATGGGGTCACTCTGCTTCAGACCCTGAAATTCTAGAGCCTCAAATGAGCCTGTGGAGGGCTAAGTTCCTAAAGAAAGACTTAGAATGTGTCCTCTCTGGTAAGTCATTACTGTACTGCTCAGAACACCACCTGGCACTAAATAAAAGGTTTTTTTTAATCCATAGGAAATGTGCTTCAGCCTGGGGCTGGGGCCATGGTAGCGCGGATTGCCCAGTTTCTGAGGTAATTTTTTTTTTTTTTTTTTTTTACTTCTGGCTGTGGGTTGGCCTTTGTATCTCTTGAGTGGAGTTTGGCCCCAGAGAATGCAGCCTACCAGTAGTAGAGAATGAGGTTGGACCCCACACATTTTGGTAACTAGAGTCCTTATGACCTCACTCTTGTGGACCCAGCCTTTCCCCTACTTTGGGAGATGTTGTGCTGTCCTGCCCTGAACTAGATATATTGGACTTTGGGACTGGAACTAAGGTTTTCTGTGCCTTGATTTTGAGTCAAAGCCAACTTGTTGCTTACCTTTGGTAACTGTGGACTCTGTCCTCGTTGGCAGGTAAATAGCCACACAAACAGGCTAAACGATGACTTTGCTTTCTTTGCCTGTTGATCATCCAATAACTAATCCCATCCCATCAGCAGAGGTGTGAGCATAGGGCAGAACCTTGGAGGATGTGAGAGGACAGAGCCCAAAGGAGCCCTAGTCATCTTGCCCTTCAGCACTTGTTCTCCCGAGGTGGGGAAGCAGTGTTTAAATTATTTTAACATGTGATTTTTTACTTATAGCTGCATGGAGTAGAAATATTACTGTGGAAACATAAGCCAAAGACACAATAGAAAAAAACACAAACCGTGAAATGAGTGAGGTTCAGACTGCTTAGGGGTCAGTCTCCCTCTGACTGTACTTTCCCATCTCATATCCCAGCTGCTTACTCACCTGGATTTTTCCTCCTTCAACCAGCTTGTCTGCCCTACTATCTTCCCTGTACTGTTCATTCTGCCCCTTGGGATGCTGTCCCCCACTTCTGTCTCTGCCCCAGCTAAACCGTGCCCAAACACAGTTTTACCATTTGGGCATGGCTTCCCTGAACTCTTAGGCTTCAGATGAGAGACTTTTTTTCTGCTCCATTAGCTACCACTTCTCTCTGTTGTGGCTATAACATTGGCCCAGCTACTTCAGTCCCTATTAGTGGGTTCATTTTCCATGTGTTGGTTGGGCATCCTCTGGGACTCAGTATTATAAGCATCTGAGCATCCTTTAGGTGATGCTTCATGTACCATACGTGTTGGGTGAAAACTGGGAGGAGTTTGGCAGGTCTAGGAGGTCATCTATCCAGGACCCTCTGCAGAACCTGGCCCTACCCCTGCTCAGGGGTTCCCTAACCTTCCCAAACATCAGAATCACCAGGCTATATTCATTCTCAGAGGTTCTTAGTGGGTGTGTAGAAAGCCTGGAAATGTGCCCAGGGCTTTGTGCAATTGTTCAAGGCAAGTTACATATCCTGAGGGCAGCCCTGCCAGCTCCCACAGCTGGGCCCAATGTGAGTGCCAGGGGAGCCTCAGAGAAGGGGTGATAGAACAGTGGTGCCTATCAGAGCTCTTCCTGCAGCTGGGAACTGAAGGCCCAGCTGTGAGAGGATACTAAGGTTGAGGGATGGGGCTGTTTGTTTTTCTTCTTTGATCCTATCCCAGCAATAGGCTCACAGCTCTGTTCTTTGAGGGAAACAAAGATGTCAGGTTTTCATGGTTGAATCTTCAGAGGGAGGGACGAAATGATCTCTCTGGCCCAGATAGGTTTCCCTTGCCTTGGGTTAAGGAAAATCATAGGATGGGAGGGCATGTTCTTATGGGAGAGATCATCTTCAGAGACAGGGTCTGCCCAGAGTTGCCCACCCCAGATTGCGTGGATCTGCCAGGTTGGGCTGGGATGGGTGACATAGACCTATAATCCCAGCACCCCAAGAGGCTGATGAAAGAAGTTCTCAAGTTCAAGCTTGGCCTGGGCAACTTGGTAATTTAGTGAGGCCCTTTCTTAAAATAAGAAAGGAGCTGGGGTGTAGCTCAGTGCAAAGGCCTGGGATTCAATTTCTAATACTGGTGGAAAAAGTGGTTGTCTTCCTGGTCCATGCACTCTCTGATGAGGACAGTGGTGTGGCCCACAGGAAGAGGCCCATTTTCCATGAGAGCCTGGCAGGGCAGGGGGACTGACTGCCTTCTCCCCTTCTGTTGCAGTGGTATCCCGGAAACTGTCCCTTTATCCACTGTCAATAGACAGTGCTCCTCAGGACTGCAAGCAGTGGCCAACATAGCTGGTAAGTGTGCACATGTGTTGCCCATGGTCATGGCCCGACCTTGCTGCTCACCCCACAGGTCTGGGTCCATAATGTTGTTGCTCTGGACCAGTGATACGCATTTCTGCCACCACCGAGCACAGGAGTAGTGCAAGAGCAGCCCTTGCTACTGCCCCAGGTCTTTTTTTGGATCCCCTGGGTCTTTGTCTCTGATGCTGTGTTCAGTCGCACATAGAAAGCAGGTGGGGAAGGGACCTTGGTGCTCCCAGGACAGATGCCCTCTGGCCAACAATGGTTATGAGATGCTTTTGTTGCAGGTGGCATCAGAAGTGGGTCTT